CTTCGGCTCCACTGTATGCGTTTATATATAACAACGAGTTTTACGAATTTTATTAAATTCAATCAGTGTGACTCAGTGGTGTATAGCGTATTTACCAGGGGGGGACCCCCCCTTGACTTTTTTTTGGTTGAGTTAAATTTTCTTATTTTCTGTATTTCTCAATATGATATTACTTTTAAGTACCTACCTATGTCTGTTTTCTAAATGTTCTAGCAGTGGAAATTTTACCGCTCTGATATACTATACACCACTAGTCGTTCTCGGCATATATGTGACTATTGGACAACAAAAATATGTACCTATATGGTAGTATAATGTTCTGTATTTTTTAATTTTTTGCGAATTATTTTTCATGCATGAGTGCTTATAATAAACCCGATAAATAGTCGGTTAATAAAACAAAATTACCATGAAGACTGTAGATTTACCATAGGGCGTGCGTTTATTTTTAGTAACTGAAGTGTAGTAAGTGACTGAAAAAATTGTATTCACCTCTGGGTTACATGCTTTAGATCAGTGGTTCTTAACGGGGGCGCTACCGCCCCCTTGGGGGCATTTCGGTCTCCATGGGGGCGATAGTTTTGAAGGGGGCGTTGAGGGGGCGGTGAGATTTTTCAAACTCGGAGATTAAAAATAATACAATTTATTAATATTATATAACAACACTACAAATAATTGAACGTGAAATCAGAATAGTTGTAATTGCGTACGATACAACGACATACGGAATGTTATCTAATCGCATTTTACGTATCGGGAACGTCTTGTTTATAATAAATTAATTTTTACATTTTCAACCATTATTGGACTATTGTATACTGTACCTTGCAAGTTGAAAAAGGATTCAGCGTTGTTGTTCAGCTTTTGACGAAACGAAGAAATCGGTTGGACATTTGTAACAAAGGTGATCTACGTTTAGCTTTAACCAATTTCGAACCAGACATCGCCACGTTAGCAGCTACTCATCAGGCTCAGGGCAGTCATTGATAGGTATAATTTTTATATTTTATAATTTTTTTTTTTCATAGTTAAGTAATTCTTTTTGTATAGTAAAGTAAAATTTTTTTGTTAAGTGGTGAAAAATATAACCTTTATTATCTAAAAATAAGAGTTTTTTCTTTAATTTATAATGTTATACTGTAATATACTGATGAATAAATAAATATATATATATATAATATATATATATATATCTTTATTAGAAGAAATTTTGATTTTGAGGGGGGGGGGCGTTAACAGTACCCTAAGTTATTACGATAAAGGGGGCGCTGAACTAAAAAAGGTTAAGAACCACTGCTTTAGATGTTTGTGTTAAAGAGTTTTATCCAAATAACGATGAACTCTTGAAAATATTTTGTACTTTGTCTGTATTAACTTTTACACCTGAACGATTTTTTTTTAAGTTTTTATTAAGTATTAAGTCTTACCATAAAATAGTACGATACAAGTAAATATTTTATCAATTTTCCAATCTAATATTGAATAATAACCATAAATTAAGTAGTAATTATTATGTACTTTGTTTATTGGAACTGACTTAAGACCCGACTTTGGTTTTACAATCACAGTTTAAACCTCGGTTACGCTTAATCCGCTGATTTTACCTGTCAATTCCTCGGTTTAACATTAGTTTAACTATTGTAATACGTTATACGGGCCCTCAATGTTTTATTGGTATGTCACCGGTCAATACAATAATCATGCCAGATGAGGTTATCGATGAACTGAGCATCCAAAAAATAGAAAACGTATTTTGTATTATAACTATTTTAGATTCTGAGCGGAGCGATGAATGTATTGGTTTTACAATGATGTGTGTTTTTTTTTATATTTTAGATTCTGAGCTGAGCGATGAATGTATTGGTTTTACAATGATGTGTGTTTTTTTTATATTTTTATATTTTTATATTTTTATATTTTTATATTTTTTTTTGTGTCTGTCATCACGTTTTGGGACAGTAAAAGTGCTTCGATTTTCTTCAATAGTACCTTTTCTGATAGGAAAGGGAATCTAGTTGGTACTCTGGGGGGTCAAAAGTAAACATTTTCCAGTAGTTTTCACAAGCTCCGGGAAAAACAACATAAAAATTAGGGAAAAACGGGAATTTTTACGCAAAATCGATTTTCCAAAAAATCGAATTTGGTTTTTGGTGTAACATTAAATACATGAAATTTTCACTGGTTGTTTATATTTGCATTTTCTATACACGATAACATTTTCAAAATATTTTGATTTATTTTGAACTGTTTAGGGACATTTTCATTTTTCATTTTTTTTTAGTTATTTTTCTAGAAATATCAATAAAATTTTATTTGTTGGTTAAAAAAACTTGAAAATTTAATAGAAGACTCCTAGTATATTGTTTCAAAGGCAGATGAAAAATATTAAAAACCCTTAATCACAATTGTTTTTTTATAAGCATTTAAAGTTCAAAAATTTACAAAATATGGAAAAGTCACGAAAATTAGCAAATTATTTTGAGTTAAGAATTCGTAAAAATTTTTCTTTTTAAATCCAAGATTTGAAAATGTAATACAAGATTCCTTATAAGATTACCTACCTTTATCAAAAAAAAAATGTCTATAAGAAAGTCAAATTAAATTTTTATGAGCGTTTGAAATTCAAATTTTTACAACATTGGATATTCACTCGATTTCTCATGTAGCGATTTCCTTATTTTGTTGTAATTCATAAACGAATAACTATAGATATATGAAAATTTCACTGAATGTTTATATTAGCATTTACAATATACAATTTTGAAAATATTTTGACTCTTTTTGAGCTGTTTACGGACATTTTCAGTTTTCAATTTTTTTAGTTTTTTTTTTTATAATTGTCAATAAAATTTTATTTGGTGGGCCAAAAAGTCTGAAAATTGAATACAAGCTTTCTTATATATTGTTACAATATCAGTTGAAAAATATTAAAAATACATAGGCACGGTTTTTTTTTATAAGCATTTAAAGTTGGAATTTTGACAAAATTTATCAAAATCTCGAAAATTATCAAGCGTTGGAATTTAAAAATTATAAAATGTTCAGTTTTTATAACTAAGAGTTGAAAATTTAAAACAAAGATTCTCTTAAATAATTCATACTGTAGCCAAAAAATCTAAAAAATATATAAACACACTTATTTTAAATTTTAATTTCAAATTTAGACAAAATTTCATATTTAAACCAAGAATTACGATTTTAGTTATTTTGTTGTGATTGAATAATATTATTCGTAGGTACTTGAAACTTCTAAAGTGTACTATTATATATCTATGATAGTATCACGGTTTTTGTTGATGTATAACGCGTTATAAGTATCTAATGGATATTGTGATATGATTAGTTTGGAATTTATTATAGGTACCTATTATAGGTCAATTTTTTGTTTAATACCATAGATATGTATATAATATGTCTTATACATAGACTGACATACCGTCACCGCTCAGAATCGTTTTTCTTATACAATGATATTATATCATTGAATTCAAATTTAATACCATCCATTATACAGTGACCCACTTGTAACCTACTGTACAGCAGAGCGACACCCACTTGCCCACCTTTTTTTTTTGCTTATCGCGATAAGCACGATTTAGTACGCGTACTAAACACGGGATTGGCATTAGTATGAATTTATAATAAAATATGCTATTATAGGTACTATACAATTTGTGTTCATTCTTATTTCGCCTTGATCCATACTAATCTCAACAAGGGGGTTTTAAAAATGTATATTATGTACTTATTTATGGGTGCAGCTATTATTATATATTTCATCCCCCCCTAGTAGAAAAATTCCTAAATACGCCACTGTGACAGACTTGTGGAGTTAAAATCGAAAATGATTGTCGACCGCAAGTAGATTTCACGGAGAATTCAAATATGTGTACAAAATGCGTAGCACATCGTTCGATCAACAAGTACATTAGTTTATAGATCTATGTGTTTTACGTATATTGAAACCACAGATAGATATTATAATATTATAATATTATATAATAATATTATAATATTATATAATAATATTATATAATTGCGCCCTCGATAATGCTGCGCTGCAATTCTTGATGGAAATACAGTATGCTACATGAAATCGATAAAAATCGCTTCATTTTAGAACACCTTTATTTATTCGTTAGTGATAAAGGGCCTTGTCAGTAATTTTAAGCGTATATCCATCAGACAATCGGGTTTTAGTTATGACTGAAACTACGAAGTTCCGATGCATCGGCGCATTCGATGCGCTGAATTTCAGAACGCTATATTTTGAAAATACGATGAATTTTAGAACATGTTTTTTCATCTCGATGGCAATACGTATACGTATCCACAGCGTTGCTTTACCGAAGGCGTGATTAACGGCTTTCAGATTGATCTACAAAATGACTAGGTATATAAAACAGCTGTAAATAATTATCTACTAGCACTTGATGTCAACACTCAACCATATGTGTCGACATTTAGAACTAATTTTAAACATATATATGATATATCTATAATCGGTTAATTGTAATTTGTAATACTGTCGCTTGGAGAGCCCCACTGGTTAATTATTTGTTGTCATTTCGTATTTCACCTTATCAGTAGGTAGTCTGTGGCCAAACCACGGTCTTAGATTATTAAACTGACCAAACTGTATATTATTTTCTTTAACCGTGGTAACTGGTAACCACTATATCGTAAATCGAGCATTACACCATGACTAAACAAATTTTGTTAGTACTAACATAATAATTCCCGTATGGTCATTTAGTATTTGGCTGCAACAGCATTACAGCAACACGCCGACACCCAACAGGTAGTAACGAGTTGGTATCTATTGAAATTATTATAATTGATGAGGTAACTATATTATTTCTTCTTACTATTACACTTAAGTAATTAATTACAATGAATAATGATTAACAAATATTAATTTTTGTCAAATGTTGTTATAAATTACATAGGCACCTACCAAACAGTACTTAAGTATAACGACACAGTCTTAATTTGCTACTATGGAACAATATCATCGAGAATTGATCAACAATTGTATGTCAGATTTAATATATGTTACTTCTGATTTAGAAACTATTGTTGAAAATTTATTAGAAAAAAATGTTATCAATGAATGGATGAAAAATTATATTTTGGTAAGAAATTTAAATTACCTAAATTGTATTCTTCCATCACACATCTAGGTATTATTTAAGAATTATAAATGTTTTAATTTATTCTTGTTCTTTTGTAGAAAGATGAGGGAGAACCAATCAACAAAAAAATAAAGTTGTACGAATTAATTCAAGGACGAGGACCTGAAGCATTTACAGCTTTATGCAGAGTATTAGAAGAAACAAATAACATAAAAGCTTGCAATATTTTAACATCATCCAAACCAAGGTACCCTTTACTCATTTACCTTTATTAAAAATGAATTTGCTACTTGAATTAATTTCTATTTTTAATTCCAAGTAAAGTGTGTTGGTTTTACTGTTTTGCAATTATGTTTTTCAAAAATCAAGCATTGTTTGTTTTCTGAAAAGTAGGTTTTAAATTTTTTTTCTAAGCTGTAAGAATATTTTGAAAAATGCAGGATAAAGCATGGGCCAAGCAAAACTTTCCTTCAGATTATTCATAAGAAATGCAACCAAATTAACGCTATTGTGTGCCAAAGTTACAACATTTATTGAGTTGGGAAAGTCTCAAAAACTATTAAATATCTGATTATATAGATCTTTATACATTTTACATATTAATATTACTATTATTTAGATAAAAATAATTCAATTAGAAAAGTAAATATTCCAAATAGGTACATTTAAAATAATTATATTTTAATAGATAATGAATAATCGGTATTCTTGTCGTATGCGGTCTACCGCATACATGCCGTCTACCACACATGTTTCTATACGTCATATGTGATCTACCACACACGGCACACGTCTTGTTGGCTACCTATGATCATTCTCAACGATTCAACGGCAAAGACGATTAAGCTTTTCCTTAACAATGTAATTTCCATATCAATAATAATAATTAGAATACTATAAAATAAAACCTGGGCCCAGAAATAATTGTGACAGAAGTCGTAAATGTATGAGATAATCAGTTAAGTTTGTACTGTAATTACCTATGTGATACATTATTCTGCAGTTTACACACTTTAAACATTATGTTAGCCAAACATTTCAATGTAATTATTCAATCAGAGGAAAATACCATAGCTTTTTTAAAGGATAAGGGACTTATTGTAATTATGGCAGAAAACCTACTGGTTCACAGGTGTTGATTAAGAAGGTGAAAATGGTGTTATCGAGGCAAGATACTTGTAGAAAAAAGAGACAGACAGACATTGCATGGAATAATTCGAAATTAAATTTAAATTGGTACAGAAATACCCTCAGATGAATGGCTTGCATATAAGACATTAGAAACTAAGGGTATATACATATAACTGTGAACCACATTTTTGTCGAACTATGGTTTGTGTATGCGCACTACTGGTGGGATATTAGTGCGCACACACAAACCATAAAAAGTTTATAGAGAGGTTGAAAACTTTGAATTGTAAAAAAAAAATGTCATGGTACATCACCATAATGCTGCCCTTGCATTTAAATAATAAAAATGATGATAATATTTTTTGTTTTTTATACATATGGACAAATTATAATATTATATTCGTTACAATAATTATTTTTCTATACCAAATGTAATTTTTTTGTACCTAACTTAACCTAATTTAGGATTAGATTGTGACGTGTATTGTTTTATTTAATTACTATAACTATTGTGTATCATTAAATCAAATATACTATAATTCTACTATAATTTAATTACGTATAAAAAATATGTATGACCGCCTATGATATATAGAAACATGTGTCGTAGACGACAAGTATGCGGTAGATCGCATATGACAAGAATACCGAATAATTATGTACTTTATTCATGAAAAGGATAATCAAGATGAAAAATCTAATAAATATTAGGATTGTTATTTAGATTGTTCATTTAGCATAAAACACTCATTGTTTTAAAAACTAATAATGTTTTTTAATTAAATTATAGTGTAATAACTAATAGGATTTAAAAATCTATTATTTCTACCATAAACACAATTTCAACCATCAAATTATAAATTATTTATTTATACATTTCAGAAAACAAGTTTATAAAATATTTATTTTTGTAATGTTTATTATTTGGAAAAATTATATTCCTTGTGAGTTGCATTTTATGTTAAAAGTTTTACAATAAATTATATAGTATACAATATTAAAGACAATCAACCATACACGCATTTGTGTTTATTATAGTTTTTTTAATTTTATACTTTTATAATATTAATTATAATTTACAGTTTATTACAATTTTTCAGTGAGAAAGAGGAACAACAATTAAGTTCAATTGAACTATTAGACACTGTGCCATTTAAAAGCATCATCTCTGAACATGATGAGTCGTATGTAAAAATTCACCCTGATCGCAAATTCATTGAAAATGATGTAAATAATATAGAGGTATGTTTATATTAATATTTACTTTAAATATTAAGACAATGCATTAAACATTAATTTTTACAGGTTTATCCAATGATATCAAATCCTAAGGGCCATGCATTGATTTTAAGTATCAATAATATAAAAGATAAAGACAAAATTACAGGATTTAATGTTGACATGGCAAACGTAAATAAATTATTTAAATGCCTTGGATATATTGTTCACACAAAAGCAGATTTAACTAAAAAAGTAAATAATCAAATATATAAGTCTAAAGAATAAAAAACATAAACAAAATATAAATTCCTTACAAAACATTAACTTTTAAATTGTTTTTTGTTTGTAGGAAATAAAAAATGTTATTAATGAGTTCATGAGTATATGCCAAAGTGAAAAAGCTAATTCAATTGTTGTTTTTATAATGTGTCATGGTGTAACTGGAAAATATTCAATTACATCATCTGGTATATTGACTGAAGATAGCGTTATAATAAATACTGACTGGTTGATTGAACAATTCTCACATAAAAAATTATCTGGAAATATACCAATGTTATTTTTTATTGATGCATGCCGGTATGGAATAAGTAATTTTTTGTACTTTTTATGCATACCATAAATATTTCTACTTATTTTAGAGGACCAAATAGAGATTTTGGTTGGAAATACTGCAATGGTGAAAATAATTGCTCTCAAAATTATGATGCTGATATGTACCCGATTGGAACTACTTCCGACCAACGTTATAAAGATATTTTCATAGCATTTGCGACTCTTCCTGGTAAATCATAGTTATCATAAGCTCATTGAAAATAATATAATGAACAATTATAATAATTTACTTACCCTCTTACCAAAAGTTTATTAAATAGCGTACATTTTTTTTCTAGGGCATACTGCAATACGTGATCCAATAGATGGGTCATGGTTTATACAAAAGTTGTGTCAAGTATTTCGTGAAAATGCGTATAATACTGATTTGGCTAGATTGATGTGTTTGGTAAATAATACATTTTATCTTTAAAAATGATTTACACCGATATTATCACAGCAAAAGTAATATATTTTTGTCATATCCCTAGGTGGATATTGAACTAGATGAACTGAGCCGCATTGATCACAGGTCTCAAACAGCAGAATGGATATTTAGAGGTTTCGGAAAATGGTTTTACTTTAATCCAGGACTATATGAAGATAATCCAGTTAATAATATTTTAATGACTTCTTCAACCAATCCTACTGATGTTTAAGCAGAATATCATTTTTCAATTATTATTTAGTTAAGTTTATGTTAAGTCTGCAATTTTTTTATTAAAATTATACAATTTATATTGATAATATTATATACTTTAAAGTTTTTTTTTTTTATCTTAAACGTTTTAGTTGTATCAAATATAACTTATTAGTTTAAAAAAAGTTTTTTTCTTTTTGATTTGCTATTTACAATTTATATATTTATATTCATCATATTCATAACAAATACATTACATTAAATTATAATAAATATTTATTATTTTTATTATTCCAAAGAAAATTGGATTAATTAAGGTTGGGCCAAACATAGTGGTTGAGGCGCAACAATTGTATAGCGAGTGGTTAAATTATCAGGCTACATACACATATATTATATATACCACATTATATGCGTGGTTATACCAACAAATATTAGGTTAATGAAAAATTATTTTATTTTCCAACTTGCTAGTCTGAATCTTTATCACAAAAGGTTATTTAAAAAAATATAGGGTAACATTACAAAATAGATTTTGATAATAATAGTAGATAATTTTTAGATTAGTTATATCTCTATTGGGAATTGGGATGCAAGTTTGTAAGCGTCACGACGCACAGGACACAGGACGGGAGGCCGCAGATTGTGCTAGCCACTGATCGGAATATAAAATTTGTCCACTAATTCTTACATTTAACTTGTAATTTATTACTAAATTAGGCAACGTTGTATAGCAAAGTTTATGATGGTGATAAAATGTAAATTCCGTAGAGATGTTAACTGCACAATTACATATCCATTTTACTATAGTCTATAATACAATATTATAATTATTATTTATTATTATATTTTCATTATAACACGGTGCGCGCTCTATTGATAGTTCTGGTGAACTAATTCATTAAGTATCATAATACAGGCAAGATGATCTCTCTATATTACCTATCTATACTCAATAGTCAATGGTAGTACTGTCTACTAGACGACCTGATTCATATTTCATTTACATTTACATGAGCTGTTTACATGCAAGTCAATAGTCACTATCCAAACAGATTTAATTACTAAACTATTAAGTGATATCTTCATTAATACGTTTCAAAATAATACATAAGACAATTTTTAAATATACCTATACGGCTATACCTATTTTTATATCAGCTTTATCTTTAGAATTTAGAGGATAGTGTACACTGTAAACCTGTAAGCTGTAGGCTGTAAGCTATAGCAGTATTTAAAAATATGTCTTAGGGAGGAGGGAATATAATATGTATTTATCCAGACTGGAATGGGCTTCTGTTATCTGTCCTGCACCAAATAAAGTTAATAAACTATCTATACCTATTAGAGTTGTCTTTAGACATTTAATTTAGTAGATTCCTCCATCAAGCTGCTTAAAACTGTGAAAACTTATAATTGAACATTATTATAATACCTAATTAATAAACACAAAATGTTATACAAGCTGTATAGATCTGAGTAGAGTACTATTTTATGAAATTATTTATACATAATCAATGAGTTAAAAAATACCAAAGAAAAAAATAACACGAAAAAATGAACAACAGTTTAAAAAATATTGATACATTTAAAATCTTGATTATAATTTCATATTTATATTATAAACTATTTGTTATCCTAAAAATAGGCGGACAAGTGCCAGGTGGGTACTTTGCTATACGGTAAGCGTAAAAGGGCCGAAGGGGTCACTGACCACTGTATATACTAATGTCACAGCAAATGAATCTAGACCGTTTCATTAATACTTAACAGTATTAAATATTGGAAAATAACATGTCGCCAACTAACATAATTGAACAACTCAATTTGACATCGATGAGTATATTATATTAATATTTTTGTATGGTTGTCAGCCATACTTTACAATATTTGGTTCAACCCATTTAACTATTTTTGCAACAAATTACAATGAACAATTCTCTAAAGTTATAGGTACCATAAAATCATAAAATATATAATTGTTACCTAATTACTTACTAAAATAACATGATGGACATTAGCAATTTAAGAATTATAAAATAGTATAAAAAAATATATTTTAAAGAAGTATTTAAAAATTAAAATATATTACTTTTCTGAATTAAAATTTATAATTATATACATATTTTAATATTTTTGAATATTGTATCGTTTGTTACTTAAAATGGGTGTATTTATATAATGAAAAAGTACTTAAACCTACCTACAGTTACTAATACAGAATACTTTAAGTCTTTAACCTTAAAACCTCTATCAGTTTTTATTTTATGTATTGCCGTTTCGATTAAATTCTTTACTTCACTTTTATGTTTTATAAAATGTACTATTCTATAATGCGAGTAATCGTCTTTAAATAATAAAAAATATTTTGACCCACCAATAGATCGTCCCCTAAGACGCAATACCTCGTATCTCCAAAAGTGGTTTTTTCAGAAAACCCATAAAACTTTGTATATATCTCAAAATACCTTTTTTTTTTTTACTTTTTTCATTGCGTCTTAGCCGTCAATATTAACTTTTTATTGGTCCACTTAATCAGCATGTATTATAGTATTACTTCTACTTCAACTGTTATGTTCGTTGTACTAGACTTAAATATTTGTTTTAGATTCTGAGTGAAACGATGAATGTATTGATTTTACAATGATGTGTGTTTTTTTTTATTTTTTTTTATTTACTAATTTTTGTTTGTGTCTGTTATCACGTTTTAGGACATTAAAAGTGCTTGGATTTTCTTCAACAGTAGCTTTTCTGATAGGAAAGTGAATCTAGTTGGTACTTTGGGGGGTCAAAATTTAACAGTAGTTTTCACAAGCGCCGGGAAAAACAACATAAAAATTAAGGAAAAACGGGAATTTTTACTCAAAATCGGTTATCCAAAAAATTGATTTTGGTTTTTGGTGTAACTCTAAAACAAATGAACGTACCTATATACATGAAATTTTCACTGGTTGTTTATATTTGCATTTTCTATACACGATAACATTTTCAAAATATTTTGATTTATTTTGAACTGTTTAGGGACATTTTCATTTTCCATTTTTTTTTAGTTTTTTTTCTAAAAATATCAATTAAATTTTATTTGTTGGTTGCTAAAGCTTGAAAATTTAATAGAAGGCTTCTAGTATATTGTTTCAAAGGCAGATGAAAAATATTAAAAATCCTTAATCACAATTTTTTTTTTATAAGCATTTAAAGTTCAAAAATTTACAAAATATGGAAAAATCACGAAAATTAGCAAATTATTTTGAGTTAAGAATTCTCAAAAATTTTTCTTTTTAAATCTAAGATTTGAAAATGTAATACAAGATTACTCATAAGTTTGTCTACCTTTATCAATAAAAAAATCTCTACCGGACAGTCAAATTAAATTTTTATGAGCGTTTGAAATTCAAATTTTTACAACATTGGATATTCACTCGATTTCTCATGTAGCGATTTCCTTATTTCGTTGTAATACAAAAACGAATAACTGTAGATACATGAAAATTTCACTGAATGCTTATAGGTATTAGCAGTTCCTATACACCATACAATTTTGAAAATATTTTGACTCTTTTTCAGCTGTTTACGGACATTTACAAATTTCAATTTTTTTTAGTTTTTTTTTCTATAAATATCAATAAAGTTTTATCTGTTGGACCAAAAAGTGTAAAAATTTAATACAAGGCTTCTGATATATTTTTACAATAGCAGTTGAAAAATATTAAAAATACATAGGCACAGTTTTTTTGTATAAGCATTTAAAGATCAAATGTTGACAAAATTTATCAAATTTAAAATTGAATAATTATTTTGTAGTTAATAATTTATAAAATGTTCAACTTTTATAGCTAAGGATTGAAAATTTAAAACAAGATTCCACGTAAGTAGTTAATTCTGTTACCAAATAATCTAAAAAATACATACTCGCAGTTTATATTATAGTCATTTTAAGCTTAAATTTGGATGAAATCACATAAAAAAAACCTAGAATAACTATTTTAGTTATTTTGTTGTGATTGTATAATATTACCAAATGGATATTGTGATATGATTAATTTAGAATTTTGTTATAGGTATCTATTAATCTATTATATTTTAATAATAATTTTTTTTATTACCATAGATAAGTATATTATAATATGTCTTATACCTACACTGACATACCGTCTACGCTCAGTATCGTTTTTCTTATATTGATATTATATCTTCTTCTTCTCTTCTTTACTAAAGGCCTTGACTTGTCGTTGCAAATCTGGTACTCCGTTCTTCTCTATTTGAAGCCAATCTTTTCATTTCTATACATCGACTAGCTACAGCCAGCTTGTTTTATCATTTCTTCTAAGTACCTACCTATGCTTTCCTCGGTCTGCCTCTTCATTGAATTCAAATTTAATACTATCCATTATACAGTAACCCACTTGTAACCTACTGTACAGCAGAGCACCTTTTTTGTTTATGCTGTTTGCCAAATACGCATGAATCACAAAAATGGTGATTTTCGTTATCTGTTAATTTTATAATATCATGTTTTTCTAATATATAAATATATTATTAACATACTTTATATTTTGATGACTTAATGCCATAATCATGCCATAATCTTAATTGTGTCCTTGATAACAATATTCGTTTGTGGTTTTTCTATATTCAGTGTTATGACTTTGAACTTTGAACGCCTCAGTGACGTAATTTTATATTTTTATACAGAGGGTCGAATAAATTAGGTAAATGCGTCTGCTAAGAAGTAGGTATTTAATTGAAAAATTAAAACATTTTTAATAAGTAACATATATTATAAAGGGGCTTTTTCGAAATCATGATACATTTAATATTGTTCCGGTTTTTTTTATAGAATTTATAATTTGAAATTTCTATCGCATCTGCAGCTTCTATATATTTTAATAAAAAAAGTAAAAATATTAATTATTATTGGGACAAAATTGCCTAGTGCTTACACAATATTATATTTCCTTATTATTAGAAAAATTATCTATATGTTATTTTACCAATTACCAGCCAAACAAATAAACTGAT